CTCTGGCTTTCTCTCTGTATAAATACACACGCGCGCGAACGCATACACACACGCGCGCGAATGCGTACACACACGCGCGCGAACGCGTACGTTTTCTTTTTTTCAGAAATCCTTTCAACAGATATTTTCTTAATCTTTTTTTTTATCTATTGACTTCCGAAATCTTACAACTTAATTTCACGTACTAAATGAAGTGTTATTTCTTTTGTGTTCTTTTGAAGATTTTAGCTCCAGCTGACCTTTACTGTTATTTAATTAGGGTTGAAGTTGAAGTATTTTAATTGCAAAAATGTTTGTTTCATTGCAGCAGAAAACACACTGTAACGTACATTGGTGTTATCATTGGTGCATGACGATTCAACTAATCTTTGTCGCTTATGGTAATTTCTTGTCAAGTCATTTAGCAATTCTCAATTTGTTTCTTCCCAAACAAAATCACACCTTTTCTTTTAATTACTCACCAGCTTCCCATTAGAATGTCTGACGCTCAACTCCACGAGAGCACCTCTTTGCGACTGCTCGGTCTCACATTGACTGCTGACCTGAGATGGAACGAATACGTTGAGTCAATAGCTTCATCCACCGCAAAGAAAGTTGGCTCCCTGTGCCACGCCAGGAAATTTTTCTCGCCGGAGTCGATCCTTCAAATCTACAAATCAACCATTCGCCCTTGCATGGAATATTGCTGCCATATATGGTCTGGAGCCCCTTCTGTTTGTTTCAAAGTCCTTGATATAATCCAGAGACGGATATGCAATGTAATTAGCCTTGATCTGGCATCTCGTCTGCAGCCGCTCTTTTACAGACGTGCCGTTGCCTCCTTCTGTCATTTTTATAAATACTTTCACGGTAACTGCTCCGATGAACTGCTTTCGCTGGTTCCCAGACTTCATGAAACTTAAGCGTTCAACTAGGCTGGCATCTCGCTCACATCCTTTCACTGTCGAAACTGTTAAATATAGCAGTCTCTTCTACTCCAATAGCTTCATGTCTCGCATTTCTCGCCTGTGGAACTCGCCCCTTTTCCTGTTTCCCTGATAGATATAATCTCCAACTATTCAAATGTAATGTCAATTCATCCTCTCTTCATCCTTTCCTCTATCACTCCTCTTTGCTTTCGCTTCAATTCTCTGTAACCCCTTGAATGATAATGGCTTCCCGCCTTGCTTGGGGTGGAATGCTTAAAAAAAAAAGACCTTAGAAGTGAAAACAACTTTCGATGTCTTTTTAAATGAGATTTTTCTTCGTCTGAAATAAATGAAATATAACAGTCTTACGTAAACGTTATAAAATTTAATTGTCTGTCCTTGACTCAGCTGTAATTTGTTTGGTTTGGGTGTCAACTATTTGCCCATAGCTGGGACCCTGACAGGTGCTACCACCTCGGGCCAGGGTGGACCTGCGAACGCTAGCAATTAAGAGGTCGTTCCTCAATCCTCAAAACCTCCTGATCAGACGCCTTGCTGTTGGACGTAGTTTATCGTCTTACCCATGACGCAGATGTAGTTTATCGACATACCCAGGACGGCAGCTGTAATTTGTGTACATGTCAAAGGTTAAGAAAGGTGTCACGAGACAGTCCTGCAAGAGGCATGAAATTTAAACCGTCTCGTCAGTTGTGGCCCATTTTGCAGAAGCGACAGCGCGTGTATTTCCAGAGCACCGTTGTCTCTCGCCCGCAACAGCCAAGATAAAGTTACTGACCTCAGTTACGAACCCGCCAGCCCACAAGTAAAACCATAATACATTTCTATTTTCTATACCTGTTAAAGTGTATCGGTTTCACTGCCGGAACAAACTATAGTTACAAGCGAGACGGACATGCAATGTTATACGTCCTGATCTGGCATCTGGACGACACTTACTTTCTCACAGACGTGATGTAGCATCCCTATGTCTTTTCTGCAAACTGCTCTGACGAGCTAATTTCACATGTGCCCCGACTGCATGAATTTAAGCGTGCTACTAGGCTGGCATCTCGATCCCACCCTTTCACAGTTGAAACGGTTAAATGTAACCGCCTCTTCTACTCAAACAGCTCCGTCTCTCGCACATCCCTAATGACTATAATCTTCAAATATTCAAATGCAATGTCAATCGACATCTTCTTATGCCTTGATCCTGATCCTCATCCTTCTCTATATCCTTTCCTCAAACACACCTCTTTACACTTGCTCTCACACTCTGTAACCCCTTGTGTGCTAGTGGCACTCCCACCTTGATTGTGGTGATATACTTAAAAAATATTTTCCTCTCTAGATTCCATCGTATTACATTAGTAAGGAGGAAGTTCCATTCAGACTGCAACTTCGCAAGAATTGCTGCTTTGTGGAACAGACTCCCAATCACTACAACCTTGATCTCTTCTAGTCTAGGGTTAAACGTTATCTTTCTAACATATCTTCATGAACTGCACTTCTTCCTTCAGAGCATGCAACACAACACAGTAATTCCCTACCTTGAGTGGCTCTCGTGTCTTGTATTGGGAGAAAATTAATATAAAAAATTCTCGTCTCTCTACCCACTCCCTATTTCTATTCTCTGTATTTTTTCTCGGTCCTACCCTTTCACAGTCGAAACGGCTAAATTTAACCACCACTTCTACTCCAACAGCTTCTTCTCTCACACTTCCCTACAGTGGAACTCCCTTCCTCTTACTTGCTTCCCTGATAGGTATAATCGTCAAATATTCAAATGTAATATCAATCGACACATTCTGATGCCCTGATCCTGATCAGCTTCTTCTCTTGCATTTCCCGACAGTGGAACTCCCTTCCTCTTACTTGCTTCTCTGATAGGTATAATTTCAAATATTCAAATGTAATGTCAATCGACACCTTCTTATGCTCTGATCCGGACCCCGTCCTTCTCTATATCCTTTTCTCAAACACCCCCTCTTCTTACACTTGCTCTCACTCTCTGTAACTTCTTGTGTGCTGTTGGCACTCCTACCTTGCTTGCAGTAGGAGTGCTTACTAAAAACAAACTTCAGTGAATTTGTATAGGAAGTGCTTTTTTTCTCTTCCAAACATTTATATATATTCCGATGTGTACTTTCATCGATGAACAAAATGCAACTATTCTGTAGAAATGGTAATGCTATAATAGAATGGTAAGGAAGAATTCGTTCTCTACCAACCATTCCAAGAATGCTTATGAGTATAAATAAAAATATTTTTGATTAATACTTTTAAAAGTATATTTTGACAACCTGCGTTCAGTGATTTTATTTTATTTTTCTTCTCTTTTATCTTCCCTCCCCACTGCCAATCTAAAGTGTCGTCCGGTGTACTTTCTCCATTTGCGGAGAATGTTTCGTTCTGATGAGCTGAACAACTCAGTGTTCACGAAATAAAAATTTTAAACGAAATTTCTTATTATCATTATATATATATATGTGTGTATGTGTCTGTGTGTGTCTGGAGGGGAATGAGTCCAGCGTGCGGCACCTTTGAAAAGTGCCTGAAAACCATACCATGGATTGGCCCAAGCTTTGTGAGTGAAACTGGGTAGACGGAATTCTTGGGGGACCGTCGATAGATGTGCTAGCACGAAGTCACAAGTCATCGTGACCGAGAGTTTGAGTGTGATGGTCTTGTTAAGATTATTGATCACGCAAAATAACTCGCTCTCTCCCAGAAAGTATAACTAAGGTCTGCTCAGCATAGTTGCTGTATAAACCCCAGGTGGGCTATGTGAGTGTTGAGCAAACACTACTGTGCCTGAGCGAGCGTCTGAATTAGGGATTGGCTAGCGACCCTAGTAGACGAGTATCCTCGAATACGAGTGGGCATCTAATGTCCTAAAATGAATAATATAGCTTTATTATGTATTGAGCCCTCTTTTAGATTAAATGTTAATAACGTTGGAATATACTCTATTCTTTCTTATCATACCAGGATATATATATATATATATATATATATATATATATATATATATATATATATATATACAAATAAATATAACTATACTCGTTTCGAAAAACCCTCGAATTTTGATTTGCCAATAATCAAATCAATCTCGAGGGAAAAAGGTTTAAAAAAAAAAGAGCCAGAAACATGAAAGTCTGTCGAAAAAAATCGCACAGATGCAGGTTTGAAGCCCAAAGAAAAAAAACCCGATACGAGTAAACAACTAACTAACAAAAGAGCTCAATGCAACCGTAGAACAGACCTAGATACACCTAGTGAGTCAGACAAAGCTACCTAGGTTTCACCTAAATGGATCGTCAGGAAAGCCGACTTTCCTGACGATCCGTTTAGGTGAAACCTTGGTAGGTTTGTCTGGCTCACTAGGTTTATATATATATATATATATATATATATATATATATATATATATATATATATATATGTTCATACTTAGATTCGCTCTACTTAGTGCATTGAGCACTTTGCTTAGTTATTTTTACTTTACTCGTTTTGGAGGGTTTTTTTCTTTGGACTCTGAGCTTGGATTCTGGACGATTGTTTTCGCCTCAATTACATGTTCTTAGTTCTTTCTTTTTTTCCTTGGGTATTGATTTGTTCATTTACAAGCCAAAACACCTAAGGTTTTTCCAGACGAGTATAATTATATTTATAAGATTATTATTATTGTTATATATATATATATATGTGTGTGTGTGTGTGTGTGTGTGTGTGTGTGTGTGTGTGTGTGTGTGTGAGAGAGAGAGAGAGAGAGATAGGGTGTGTGTGTGTGTGTGTGAGTGTGTGTGTCTGAGAGTGTGGGTGTGTGTGTGTGAGAGAGAGAGAGAAAGAGAGTGTGTGTGTGTGAGAGAGAGAGTGTGTGTGTGTGTGAGAGAGAGAGAGAGAGAGATTGTGCGTGGGTGGGTGTGTGTGTTAATGGCTTACTCTGTAAGTCACATGAAAACATATGTCCGTCATGTTGGATGATGGATGGAGTTTGTTTTTTGCTGAAGAGAAACTGAAGAAAACAAAACGATTGTTTATTTATTAGTATGGGTGAGCTGGAAGTTAGAATGTAGTCTATCAGTT